AATGGCGCCATCACCACTGCCTAGTCTTTCCGTGGACCAAAGGAGCTTTCTAACAAGCCCGCCCGCCCCCCTCCCCATACACATTAAGAGAACGAACAGAGCTTCTCTATTTAAGCCTCGCTTATGCTCAAGTGGAAAGGGCTAGATTTGGAGTCAGAAAATTCAGGCCACTTACTACCTGTGGGTCTTAGCCAATCAACCAATCTCTCAAGGCCCATTTTTTCAGTGGTTCTCATGAGCCAGGCATTGTCAGGAGTTGGACAAAACGAAAGACAAAAATGAGGCAACTCCTGCCCTCAAGGTTATGTGTAATGGAGTAACTGCCTCTCCCTCACTGGTCCTCCCTTACTTCACTTGTAAATTCAAGGAGTCACTCTCAAAGGTCCCTTCTGGGTCAATATCCTGATTCTTTTTCTTTTCTCTTTTGGAGGCAATTGGAGTTAAGTGACTTGCCTAGGGTCACACACCTAGTAAGTGTCCAAGGTTGGATTTGAACTTGGGTCCTTCTGACTCCATGGTCAGTTGCTCTATCTACTACACCACCTAGCTGTCCCAACATCCATGATTCCAAAGGCCTCAACACATGGAGGAAGAATTCAACTTACTTCACTCATGTCAGAGGGGCAGATTTCATCTCAGGAAAAAGCAGAGTTTTTGTCCAAAATTGGAAAAGGCCATTTTCATAGATGGTCAGTTCCTGGTCACTAGAAGTATTCAAGCAGACACTGCAGAGTCATTTGTTTGAACTACTGTGCAAGACCCCTCCCCACCATAAATCTCAGCTTCTCATGTAGAAATGTGCAGACATAGTGGACAATCCTCACCTGGGGTCCATGTACTCGATTTTTTTGGTTTGTTTTTGAGGCAATTGGGGTTAAGTGGCTTGCCCAGGGTCACACAGCTAGTCAGTGTCAAGTGTTTGAGGCCAGATTTGAGCTCAGGTCCTCCTGACTCCAGGGCTGGTGCTCCATCCACCGTGCTACCTAGCTGCCCCTATTATGTACTCGATTTTTTAACATTTCGATAACTGCATTTCAGTATAACTCTGTAATTCAGCATTCTTAAGAATAAAAGAATGTAATTCAGTATAGTTCCTTTGCAGCCCTCTGTATGTTGTTTCATGCCTTTAAAAACAGAATAATGAGAATAATCTGAGAACAAGTCCACCCCAGAGGTTTCATCAGATTCTTCAAGGGTCCATGACACCAAAAAGGTTAAGAACCTTAGGGGGCCGCTAGGTGGTGCCACAGTGCAGGGAGCGCTGAACCTGGGAAGACAAGTTTACATGTGACCTCAGACACTTACTGGTTGTGTGACCCTGGGCAAGTCACTTAGCTTCTGTCTGCCTTAGTTTCCTCACGGGTAAAATGAGGGTAATGATACTGCCTACCCCCAGGGTTGTTGTGAGGATCAAATGAGCCACTGTTTGAAAAGTGCTTTGCGAATCTTAAAATGCTCTAGACATGCTGGCTACTTATAAACCTCTGTTATAAACCAAAAATCTGCGACTGAGACCCACGCTAGTGTTAATGGCTTCAGACCTCATTGATCTCTAAATATATTGGATTAGAGATTTAAGCTGGAATGAACCTCTAAGACCAACTAGTCCCCATCTCTCATCTTAGAGACCAGAAAAGAGGCCCAGAGAGATGGTGGCATTGGCCCAAGGTCACACAAGGAGGAAAGAGCAGAGCTGAAATCTAAACCCATGGATTCTCTCCCACTGTGCCACACAGCCTCCTAATCAATGGATATAAAATAGCTTTCTTCATCTTCAGCCCACTGGAGATTTTCAATGACATTACCAAAATATGAACCATCTTTAGATAAAAAAGATGGTTCAGAGGAGTTCCATGCTCTCCAAGCTAAAAATAGGGGGTTATTTTTATCTGTTAAAAGTCCTATTTTTGTCTCCCAGAATCCAGGATGGGAAGGGATGCTGAGAAATCCAAAAGCTATTTGCAGCCAATAACTCAAAACTGGGAGTTTGAATCAGAGATTACCTTCTTGGCATGAGATTTCATAACAATTTGCAATCTAAAGTAGCCGACTATAGCCTTTCAAAATTTTGAAAAAAAAAGCTGTCTGGTGCTGAGAAAGCTTGGCTGTATAAAAATAGTAAAAGCATATTTTTAACACATGATTTAAAATGCCAGAATAGCCAGTGTATTAAGTTGTGCTGGGGGGAGGGGGACTGTCCAAGCCAAGTACTTGGGGGTGTGCCGGAGGCCCTGGAAGCTCCCCCTCTCCTCCCCTCCTCCCCTACTGTGGGCTGACATTTGAACCCCAGTGACTAATGGAAAGTTAATGACCTTATCTTGGGTCATTCCTCTGACCTCCCTTCTCCCAGGAATGTTTCTCCTACTCATTCATCCACCCCCCTGCAGGTACAGTCCTTAAAGTGAGTGATTTTCCACTGGTGCTGACTGTGACCTGGCACCTCTGAGCCTCTTTTTAAGGTCTTGCCCTTCATAGGGTTATAGCTGCAGGGCTGGAAATGATCTTGGGGGGCCATGTAGTCCAATCCCCTTCATTTTACAGAGGAGGAAACTGAGGCCCAGAGAGGTGCCCAAGGTCAGAATTTGAACAAGCACTTACTATGTGTCCTTGATAGACACTGGAGATAAAAATGCCTGAAACAGTCCCTACTCTCAAGAAGAAAGGAAGGAGGGGCAGGTAGGTGGCACAGTGGATAGAGCACCAGCCCTGAAGTTAGGAGGACCTGAGTTCAAATCCAGCCTGAGACCAAACCCTTGACACTTCCTAGCTGTGTGACCCTGAGCAAGTCGCTTAACCCCAATTGCCTCAAAAAAATAAAACAAAAATTTTTTTAAAAAAGGTGAGAAGGAAGAAAGGAATGAAGGAGAGAAATAAGGAAAGGAGAGGAGGAGGGGAGGAAACGAGGGAAGGAAAAAAGGAAGGGAGGGAGGAAGGGAAGAAGGGAAACAAGAATTTATTTAGCACCTGCTATGTACCAGGCACTGTATTAAGTGCTTTACAGATATTATCTTATTTGATCTTTACAAGAACCCTATGAGATAAGTACCATTATTGTAAAGTTAGAGAAAGAGGAAGAAGGGGGTTAAGTGACTTATCCAGGCTCACACTGCTAGTGTCAGAGACCAGACTTTAAACTCAGGTCTTCCCGACTCCAGGCCCAGCACTGTGGCGCCCCCTAGCCGCCGTTAGGTGTCTACTACTTGCTGGGCACTGGCAATACAAGGAGTAACATTTGATAGTCTGCCCTCGAGGAGCTTACATTCTGTAGACCATGCAGTACGGGAGTGAGTGAATACAAAGTATACAGAAAATGTTACCAAGCAATTTCAAAGTGAGATCGGGCTGACGGCGGGGGCGCCAGGCAAGGTCTCGGCTGGGCTGGGCTTGAACAGAGCCCGGGTTCTATGAGCAAGCAGCAGCCGGGACATGGGAGTCTATGTCCTTGGAACACGAGAGCGGTTTGGTTAGTGTGCGTGAGAGGGAGCAACATGTGAAACTGCTGGGCAGAAGACTGGAGCCGGGGACACTGAAGGGCTTTGAAGGCCAAAGACAAAGTTTCTGATCCTAGAGGCAGCAGGGTGTTCCCGAGTCCTTGGTAAGAATCCTAACAAGCTGGTGGAAGACGAGCCTCCTCTTGGTGACTCTCAGCTCCTTCTGGCCACTGCCCGGCCAGATGTGAGCCCGAGAGCCTGCTGAAGGGAGATGATTAGATCATCAGGGATTTTAGAGAGCTGCCAGTCTAACCCGTCACTTGACAGATGAGACCAGACCCACATCACAGCAAAGAACACAAACACCCTCTGAGGCATTTTTATTTGGAACATTGTTTTATTGATGCCTTGTGTTTTTACATCGGACTTCCAAACACACCTCCGACACTTTATTCAGTGAGTCCTCCCTTGCAAAAAATCCCAAATGACACAGTAAGCCCCTTTGACAGTGTATATAATATTCTGCACACACAGGCTCCCACCTCTCCGAGAAAAGAAACAAGCCTTTATTAAACACTTATGTGCCAGGCACAGAGGATACAAAAACACTGGCCCTGCCCTCAAAGAGCTTACAGTCTAGTTGGGGAGGCAGCACGCCAAGAACTGCATACAAACAAGGCATATTCAGACCAATTAGAGATAATCTGATGGGAGGCATCAGAAATGAGGGATGTGGAAGCCAGGAACAGAGGTTGGGTGGATTTTCCCATTTCTTCTCTGCAGGCCCAGACAGCTCATTTTGTCTTGTATTCAGGACAAAAGCCCTGCTCCCAATACTGTTGACAGAAGAGCTTTGGCTATTCTGGGTGGGCCCTTCCTAAGCCGGTGTTCACCCAGCCAGGACTGCTCTGTTCTGCTCAGCAATGGGAAGCTGCTGAATGACCCAAGATCAGAGAAGCAACCACGGGACAGTGGAAAGGCACTGGCCCTGGGTTCAAATCCCACTTTGGACATGTCACTTGGGTGACTGTGAGCAAGTCATTTAACTTCCTTGAGCCTCAGTTTTCTCAGCTATAAATGATTTGACCCAAAGGTTACCGATGTCCCTGTAGCACGAGGAGAGAGTTCTGGGCCTGGAGTCAGGGAGACCTGGGTTCAAATCTGTGTCCAAGCCAGTTCCCCCCAATAAAATGCAGGTCCAATTTTGTTTTATCTTTGAATTCCTAGTACCTGGCTAAAGTAGGTGCTTAATAAATGCTTAATAAATGAATGAATTTGGGAGCAGCATTTCGAGTTCCCCATGCTAATGCTGGAGGTGAAAATGGATAAAACACTGGTTTTGGAGTCAGAAAGATCTGAGCTCATACCCAGCCTCAGACATTACTTAACCCCCATCTGCCTCAGTTTCATCAACTGTAAAATGGGGAGAATAACTACACCTACTTCCCATATGGTTGTTGTGAGGATAAATGAGATAACATTTGTAACACACCTTACAAACCTTAAAGTATCATGTGAATACTAGCTGTTACTATTGTTATTATTACTATTATGACCTTCTCAGCTCTGCCACTTACTGTCTGCATGACATTGGACAAGTCCTTTCCCCTCTCAGGGCCTCAGTTTTCTCATCTGTAAAAAATGGGGGAGTTGTCGCTTCTGGCTCTAAGGCTATCAGCCTATTCCTGCCTCCCATATTTCAGAGAACCGGTGGTGCCCACCCAGTCGCGGCCCTGGGACTGAATACATCTGAACAGTTCACCAAATATGACCCATTCGTTCTTCCGACCTTCCTCTCTCCCAGCCATTCCACGAGTAGAAGCAAGCCAGTGAGATAATACATTTTATTTGCATAGTTCATTTGGCAAGAAAAACTAAGAAGGCTGAAAAACACTGACTTCTTGGAAAAAGAATAGTTACAAAAGAGAAATCTAAAAACCCTCGGGATCTTAATAAATATCAAGTTACTAACAGTGACCTTAGAAATATTCTGTTTTTACTGATAAAGAGCTTCCAGTACTCTTGTCATTCGGCAATCTATCTCAAATTCCTTTCTTTTAATTACTCTTCCATGCCCAGTTTTAACAGCATATGATTTTTTTTTTGATAAAGCCAAAAGGGAAAAACTCTTGAGGGTGAAAAAAGGGTTGCCCCCCCCCCCACCATGAACTATTAGAAAGGAGAAAACAAGAAACAATTATGAAGTCTCAGTACTCCCAGAAGTTGGGGCACAAAGGTCTTGGAATGGCCACCTGCCATGGAGGGTGGGCCAGACCCACCTGTCTGTACATTACAGGTTACAGAACCATGACCAGGCGTGCTGCTTAGATTCAGGCACCCTGCATGAAGCCTTGGATCCAAATGGGCAGACAAAATGTTGCCCCGTGGAGGTAAAGAGTGTTGTGGAAAAGGGTCCCCGGGACAGGCAGCTTCTTTCCATCCATTTAAAACCACCTGTCCAAGTGGAGTGGCAGACTACGAGAGGGGCTTTTAGAACTGCAGCCCGCCAACACCATGGGCTTTTTGGTGGTGACTCCACACCTCTTGGAGCCTCCCCTGCCCCTGCTTCCCAAACCCTGGGTGAAGGGGGGAAGGACGGATGAATAGCCTTGTCTTTGGGAGTGATGGAAGAAGGATGGAAGAATCTATAACAAAGCCAACAGCACATACCTCCGGTGAGTGCAAGGCTATCAGCCTGAACACAGGAACGGAACACAGGGGAATGCCTTTCTTTGGCCAAATGACCACATTATTTCCTCCTTGAAAGGCCTGGCTAAAAGGAAGGGGACAGAGGGAAAGTAAAAGCCACAAATAAAATGGCAAATCCTGGAAACTTATGGGTAGGGGAACAGTGGGCAGGTAAGAAAGGGGCTATTTCCCCTCTTTTTGTAACATTAATCTCCCATCTCGACTTTGACCTTCCCTGCTCTGTCTCCCCAGGTCTTAGGGTGACCTTGGGCACGAAACACGGGAAATTTAAGAAGAAGGTCATCATAGCTGGGGATGACAAAGATGCTGGACATTCAAAGAGATGGGTCCTCCTTGGGGGACAAGGTACGAGGCATTGCTCCCAGGCCAACTCGTAAGGCACAGCTGGTGGACATCAAGGCAAGTCTCTGAGCACCCTCCGGCACCACTTGGCCTGGCGGGGGTTACTGGGAGAAGGTCGCTTGGCGCTCTCTGAAGAGAGCCCTCCGCTGTCTCCGCTCCTCCTCCTCCTGCTTTCGGGCCATCTGCTCTGCCTTGATCTCAGCCTCAAATCTGCTGGTCAGGGCCAGGGCGTGGACCTGAAACGACAAGAGCCGCAGAGCCAGTGAGAAGGCAGGAAGAAGCAGCCCCTCGGTTTAGTTCAGCTCGCCTGCCCTACCCCCACAATCCCTAGTGGGCCAGGCAAGGGACGTTTGGGTGCAGTGCACCTGCCGGGAATGCTCTATAACTAGTGCTTTGCTATCTGGGAGGAGAGGGATAACTAAAACACGTTTCAGTCCCACCAAGTCATTGGGAGACTCAATCTGAATCATGGGATGGTGGCTGTGGCAATCCAATATGAAATAACCCTGCCCTCAAGGAGCTTACATTCACTGGGGAACTATGAGCAGGACCAGTGCCTGGAATCATGGGAGAAGATTTAAAGCTGGAATGGATCTTAGAAGCCATCAAGTTTTACATTTGAATAAACTGAGGCACAGACAGGGTCACATGGGTAGGCTCAGAGGCAGGATCTGAACCAAAGTGACTTGGCCCAAGGTCACAAGGGTAGTAAGTCATAGAGCCAAGATCCAAATCCAGGACCTGTGACTCGGAGTGACCACACGCCAGGTTACACTAAGCTACGTAAGCCGATTCTTGATGGCTAGGCCTAATTTATCTTCTGGAGGCCCCAGAACCTTGGCTCATGCTTTTGCCAAGCTTTAGGACCATCTTCCTCCCTAGGATACCTCTCCTTTCGTATTCTGCCCAATGCCACCTGCTTCCAAAGCTTCCTCTTCCCCCTCCCCCCAGCACTCTATTTCAGAATAACACACAGAGGAGCAGCTAGGTGGCTCAGTGGATAGAGCTCTGGCCTTGGAGTCAGAGGATCCAAGTTCAAATCCAGCCGTGTAGACACTTGACACTTAGTAGCTGGGTGACTGTGGGCAAGTCACTTAGCCCCGATTGTCTCACACACACACTAAAAATAGAATAACACACAGATCTGGAGCTAGGGTAAGCAAGCTGGGGCTTGGTTCTGGGGCACCGATCTGCAGAGGACAAAGCTGCTTGCCCAGGACCACAGGAGTCTCTAGAGCCTGTACCCATGGGTGCCATGAGGGTCCTCCGCTCCCTCTGCTGCTATATCCCTGTCTCTTGCCACCTGGCAGTGAGAGGGCCGTTCAAAATGCATAAAGAGCCTTCCCAGCTCTAAACCTAAACCTATAATTACATAGCATTTCTACAGCACTTAAGGTCTCCAAAGCACTTTACAAGTGTTACCTCCCAACAACCCTGGGAGGTGGGTACTTTTATTATCCTCACATTACAGATGAGGAAAATGAGGCTAAGAGAGTTTAAGTGACTTGTCCAGGATCACACAACCAGTATCTGAGGTAGCATTTGAACTCAGGTCATTAAGACTAAATCCAACACGCTATCTATTGCACCACCTAGCGGCCTAGAGAGGTGTTGCAAAAAGGCAGATTTGGCCTGGATGTCAAGAAAAAATTTTCTTAATAACTAGCTGTCCCGAAGCAGCACAGGCTTCACTGGAGGAAGTGGGCAGCCCCTCACTGGAGGTCTTGCACGTTGGATGACCACTTGTCGAAGGTGTTTAGAGAAGGGTGGAATGGACTTTGCAACTGTATCCAAGTGACCTGGGCAAAGCTCTGAAGCGGCTCCCCTATCCCTTCCGCTGGGCAGGCCTTCCTCAGCACTGCCATCTTCCTGCTAGGGGCGGGGGTAGGTAGGGCAGTCCTAACCCTAACTCTGGGAGTTGGGGGAGAAGGAGGAGACCCGCTTGGGACACATTACATCTAGCTTTAGACTGGACTGCCTCTTCTGTCTCTCCATCCCCCACGATGGAATTTGCTTTAAAGCTCAGAAATCCTAGTTCAGGCCTCGACTAAATCGTACAATATTCTACATCGTTGTATCCTTCTCCTAGGTTCTATGTAGGCATGGCCCTGTCTTTTCCTAACTTGTTACCTTCTCAGGTAGCTAGCACAGCGTGCTGCATACAGTAGACATTTAATAAGTGTTTGATGAATAAATGAACAACTTTTGGAGATGAGGAAACTGGGGCTCAGAGGGAGAGGGCTGGGAATTGACCCGAGTTCCTCATGGTCAAATCTCCAGTCACACTAGGCCCCAGAACCGGGGAAGCAGCAGGTTCCTGCCCTGTAGGCTTCAGCCTTCAAAGGATGTAGACATGAACAGAGCCTGACAGACTGGAGCCAGGGACCTCTAATAATCAGAGGCAAATTCCAGGAGTAAGGAGAAATAACAACGGTCATTCACACTGTAATTTAGGATTTGCCAAAGGCCTTCCTCCAGCCACATTTACCAGGCCAGGGGGAGGTAGGAGTAGGATTAACCGCATTTTACAGATCAGGAAACTGAGACTCAGAAAAGGCTGGGGCTGGAAGCAGGACTCAAGGCCAGGTTCACAGGCTGAAACGAAAGAGACCCTGGGGAGGGTATAGAGTTGGCCTACCCACAGCAGGAAGAGGGCCTAGGCCACTCCCCTCATGTTCCAGGCAGCAGAAGCTGGATTGGAGCACATCTGGAGCCGAGCTGAGCTCCCCTGGCCGCTTCCAGGGCCACACGCCTCTGAGCTGAAGGACCGGTGCTGACAAAGCTCTCCCCTTACTGGGCTCTTGGGGACCACATCTCAGATTGTTATTATTATTATCATTATTATTTTGGCTAGGCAATGGGGTTAAATGACTTGCTCAGGGTCACACAGCTAGTAAGTATCAAGTGTCTGAGGCCAGATTTGAACTCAGGTCCTCTGAATGCAGGGCCGGTGCTCTATCCACTGTGCCACCTAGCTGCCCCTCAGATTACTTAGGGGATTGGGAGCAGGAACTCCTAGGCTTATCGACTTAAAGCTAAAAGGGGAGGGCAGCTATATGGTGCATTGGATAGAGCACCAGCCCTGGATTCAGGAGGACCTGAGTTCAAATCCGGCTTCAGACACATAATAACACTTACTAGCTGTGTGACCCTGGGCAAGTCACTTAACTCCATCGCCTAGTTAAAAAAAAAAAAGAATCAGTAGTCTTTAGGGGCAGCTAGGTGGCACAGTGAATAGAGCAGTGGCCTTGAAGTCAGGAGGACCTGAGTTCAAATCTGGCCTCAGACCAAACACTTGACACTTACTAGCTGTGTGACGCTGGGTGAGTCACTTAACCCCGATTGCCTAAAAAAATAAAATTGAATTAAAATTAAAGCTAAAAGGGACCTTAAGGCCATGGAGTCCAACCTCACCTTGCTTTGCAGGTGAAGAACCTGAGGCTGAGAGAGATTGAGACTTGCCCAAGATCACACAGCTAATAGCCATCTGAGGCAGAATTTGAATTCAAGCCCTAACTCCAAGTCCAGTGATCCGGCCATTGCACCAAGTAGCTGCCTAGGTAAAGGAGGAAAGCTCTGAGACGGCCACGCAGGGAGACCTCTCAGGTATAGTCAGGCTCCCGTTTTCCCCCATCAAGGAAGAGATTTGCCCGCAGAAGCCTCCTTTAGCAGAGGCTATCTTGGATCAGAGTATCCATACATCTGGGAGTCAGTGCACAACTTGTCACTGAATGCTTGCCCCCATGCACTTAAGAAGAAGGGCATTTAGAGGCCACCTGGTCCGACCCTTTTGTTTTAAAGAGAAAGGCAGGGCCCAGAGAAGAAGGAAGGGACCGTGCATTTATATAGCACCTACTGTGTGCCAGGCACTGTGCTTTTACAAGTATTACCTCATTTGAGACTCATGACAACCCTCCAGCATGGGTACTAGCATCACCCCCATTTTACAGTTGAGGAAACTAAGGGTAGAGAAGGTTTGTCAGATGCTTCGATCAAAGTATTGTGAATCATATTTATGGCATTCCCCTGATCTCGCAGCCTAGTAATCCTGTCCAAAAAAGAAATGAGGGTAGTTGGACATGTTACTGACAAAGCCATGCGGACTCTGGTCATCACTGCTTCCTGGACAAATGTATGGAAGTGGGAGATGGAATCTTATGGAGGGAGGATAGCCAGCAGCCACCCATTTTGGCCAGAGCAGGGACTGTATGTGGGCAGCAATGGGCAAGAGGTCTGAAAACGTAGAGAAAGGTCATCTAGTGCTTTGCTAAGATCTTTGCAAACTGTATCTATAGCATCTTATTATCTAGAAAAATATCTAGTAAATTGTATTTATTCCTTAATCCCTTGTGATGACCACTTCCTTTTCGAGCTGCTGACAAACCCTTAAATGATACATTCTAGAATATGATATTTTTTAAAAAGGATATTTGGAAGCTATTACATATTATGCCTGCTTTGCTAATAAAGTGTATAACTAGGATGGTTTCCTCAGTTATTATCAACTGTGTACTCTACTTTCTATCTTCAGCCCTTAGCACACAGTGGGCACTTAATGTCTACTCACTGACTCCATATCTTTCTTTACATACATGTTGTCTCCCCAGTAGAACGTCAGCTCCCTGAAGGCAGGAACTTCTCCATTTTTGTCTTTGGCTGTTTTTGGTGTTTCGTGCAGGGCTTGGAATTTAATAAATGCTTTTGACTGGTTAGTCCCAGACAGGATCTGAGACAACGCCTCCTTCCGTCCCTCTTTACAAAGGTGGAGGTGTAGGAACTTTTCAGACATGTTTGATGTGTTGGTCAGTTCTGCTGGACTACTTTTCCCCACTTTTTATTTTTTAATCCTATGATAGATACTCTCTGGGTAGGGAAGGGTTGAGGGATAATTTTCGGTTTTTTGGTGAGGCGATCGGGGTTAAGTGACTTGCCCAGGGTCACACAGCTAGTAAGTGTCATGTGTCTGAGGCCGCATTTGAACTCAGGTCCTCCTGACTCCAGGGTCGGTGCTCTATCCACTGCACCACCTAGTTGCCCTGTGAGGGATATTTTCTGGAAATGAAGGTGATGAACAAATAAAAAATACCAATAAAATTAAGATTGAGGAATGAATTATAAGTCAACCAGCTGGACTGCTCCCATTTCCTGGTTACTGTAGGACAAATTCAAGAGCTGCTGGTTTCTTTTTCCTGGACCAGCAAAGGGGTTCAGGGACAGGAGGGGAAGGCCCTCAGGGGAAAGCTGTGACGGCAGGTCAACAGTGGTCCCCCCTCTTACCTTGGCCTCGAAGAAGTTCTTGGCCCCTTTCACTCCTTCAATGGCCACGTTGATCTCTGACAGCTTTGCCAGAGACATCAAGCCACTGTCCTCCTCCAGTTCCCCTGAGGCTGCCTTCCGGAAAATCAGCAAAAACTGCCAGGGCAATGAGAAAACGGGTCTGAAAAAAATCTTCATTTCCACCCCACCAGCTCCTTTTTATACATATGCCGTCTCCTCCCTTTAGATTGTAAGCTCTTTGAGGGCAGGGGGTGTCTTTCTTTTGCTTTACTTTGTATCCTCAGCACCTGGTAAGCGCTCACTAAATTCTTGTTTCATTCCTTCCAGTCAGTTCCCTTCTCAGTTCTCAGTTTCATCTGTAAAATGGGAGATCCAGACCAGACATTCTGTAAGGACCCATCTAACCCTAAATCCTGTCATGTAAATGATGACCCCAAGGCACTCAAATCCTGAAGAGCCTTCTGAATGAAAGTCACTCAGCAAAGCAGCCAGTGTACAGACCCCTAGGACCAAGGAGTGGTCAGTTCTGGTGGCTCAGGTAAGGACAGACACTTGTAAGTGGGATAGAACACAAAGGAGGATGAGGGGGAAGGTGAAGAGCCCACCTCACATGAGGATGGCCCAAAAGACCTTGGGCTGTTCAGCCTGCATGAGGGCCATGGCAGCAGGCTTCAAGGATGTAAAGGACCACCGTGCACCAGGCCTAGTTTTGTTCTGCTTGGCCCCAGAGGGCAGAATGAGGAGCAGTGGTGGGCTGCAAGAATCCCCTCTTACAATGTGCTGGACCCGAGATCATCCAGCCTTTATTGAAGACTTTTCTCCTTTCCTTCCCTTTCCCCAGCCACAGCAGCCCAAGTCCATTCATCTTGGGCTCCCAGTTTATCCAAATCCTTCAGAAACTTCTGATCCCAGAACAGAACACACACCAGGGAAGAGACCAGCAGCACCATCCAGGCCCTTCTCCCTGGAAGCTCTGAGTGCAGTTTAAAATCCCATCACACCATGGATTCCAGCAGGTGCTAGGAAGAGGAGCAGCTTGAGCTAAAGCCAGAAGAAGTCAAGTAGGTGGGACTGTGGAAGGCCTTGAATGCCGGGAAAAGAAGTGTGGACTTGATTGAGGCCTTCCAACTAAAAAGTAAGACAATGGCTGCCTATGGCAATCAGTTAGTCAAGAAGCAGGTAGTACCTGCCGGGCACTGTGTTAAACACTGAGTGCCTACACATCCTCCCAAATTACTGAGGAGGACAAGCTACGATGAAAGATCAACAGTAAACAATCAGAAATTCATAGGAGACAAAAGGTATACTTATGTAAGGAAATTCAGGAACCAAGGGGAAGGCATTTGAAGGAAAGTCAATGGAAGAGGAAACAGAAGTGTTTTATCACTGAAATACACACTAGACCACCTGGGCTGAAGGAGGAAATAGACAAGGAGCTTGGGAAACTGATCACAAGCCTAGCTCAGAGACATTTTACAGTAAGGATGGGGATGTCAGGCGAAGTCGATATAGGAGAGATAAAAGATGATTAGGAATGAAATGCTGAAGACACAAAGGATCTCCAACAAGGAAGGAAAATGGCACTTGTCTGAAGAAACCAATGTGGATGCACAGAACTCACCACCTGACACAGATTTTAAAAAGAAATGTACAGAAGATGGAAATAAAGCCAAGTAACCAGCAGCAGATGGCTATAAACAAACGTGATGATCCTTTAAAACTCGTGTGAGGAGTGCTAAGGGTGAGAATGAGTCGAAAGGTTTTGTTTTTGTTTTTAGTGTAATGGGAGAAAAAGGAGGATCACAGAAGAAGGGGCAAGGCTTTTGCTTGGGGTGGACAGGACGATGATAATCGACAAATAAGAATGAACACTTCCATTCGGATTTTGTTTGTGTTTTCTCTGCCCAGGAGAATGACCAGGAGGATAATGTGAGAGCTCCAGGTTGTCCACAGGCCCAGATAAACTCTAACCACGGGCTCTGAGACAGCTGGAGGACATGCTGGCCGGGTTACAGTCAGTGATCATTCAAAGACTACAGAGAGAAAGAGAATTATCCCAGGGCTAGATAAGGCCACACAGTGTCCTGATTCCCCCCAAAAGGGAAGAAAACAGTCAGCCACCTACAGCCCAATGAGCTTGACTTTGATTCGTGGCCAAATTCTAGAATGTATCCTTTAAGGGAAGGAAGCAGCCATTGATGACAAGGGGGTCAAGGAATAGATACAATTTACTAGATATTACACATATTTTTCTAGATACAAATTCCAAAGATGTTGGCAAAGTACTTGCCGACATTTCTCTACCCCTTTCTTTCAGACCTCTAGCACGTTATTCCCTGTATCTAGTCTCTGCTCTGGACAAAATGGGCTGGGGATGTCCTCCCTCCATAAGATTCTATCTCCCACCTCCACACCTTTGTCCAGGAGGCAGTGATGACAAGAGTCAGACGTGTCCAACTGCCCTCATTTCCTTTTTGGACAGGGTTACTAGATAGATCAGGGGGATGCTGCAGATTTAATTCACAAACGTTTCATCAAAGCATCTGACAAGCCTTCTCATGTTATTCCCTCCTATGTATCGATTCCCCCTTCTAGTTATCCTGTAGTGGTAGGTATTTACCAGGCACAAGATTCTATTTTCTCCCTCTGTGCACAGGTTTGACCCTACTTTCCACCCCTCCTGAGACCTTTCCTCAGTCTCCCAGTCATTAGCACTCTCTCCTTATTGAAATCACTCTGCATTATTACTATATAAATGATATTTGCTTACTTATAGCATATCACACTCCTCTTGCTCCTTGAGGGCAGAGACAATTCATTTTTGTCTTTGTATACACCCAGAACCTAGCTCGCAGTGCCTTATGCACAGTAGGTGCTTAATAAATGCATTAAGCAGAATTGAATGTTTTTGAGGACAAGATGGGGAGGTCTAAGTCACATGCCAGTGCAGTGGCTGGGGAGCTGGCTGAGCGGCCAAAGTGCAGTCCGTCTTTAGCTCTTCTCCTTAGGAGGAGGTCTCTAGGGGAGTGGCCCAGGGACCCGTGCTTTGGTCCTGTGTTTAACACAAAGCGAGAACAGCAAGTTCAGGTGGGGAGTAATGAAGGTCCTGCTAGCCCCCTAATCACACATTGGGAGCTGTAAGGGAAAAAGGGAGCTCCAGCCCTGTTAAGCAGGAAGCCTCCTGACAACATCCCCTGAGCTTCCTGACTTCCTCCTCCCGTGAAAGGCCATTGGCCCCAGCTTCCTGGGGTGGGGCCATGAAAGGTCCCAGCAAACGTAGTTGGTGCCTCTCAGACTTGGTGGTCACCCATGATACCCTGAGCGGACTCGTTTCCATGGAGACAAGGGGGGCCCCATCCAGAGAAGCAAAGTGTCTCTCTATTTGGGCTTTGAGCAAAGCCAACTTCCTTTGCCCAACACCCCTTGCAGACCTCATTTCATCCCATCATCAAATCTGAGCTAAGACCACTGGGATCAGAGCCAAACCTACAACAGAAACCTCCTTCAGCAACTGGGAACTCACTCACTCCCCACTAAGGTGGCCCAGTCCACTTTGGGACAACTCTAATGGTCAAGACCTTTCTCCTCATGGCATCAGAAAGATGCCATGATTCACATCCAGCCCCTAACAAAAGGCTGTGTGACTCAGTTCACCTCCCAGGTCCTCTCCAAGACTAAAAATTACTGAGGGATGGCTGATCCGCCTTGGGGGAGGGAATTTCCACACCAGAATTTCCCTACACCAATGAAGCCATGAGTCTGGACAGTAAAAGAAAAAAAAACAACCCAAGATGAAGCCTGGCTCGATGCAGCTTCTGCCCCAGAGAAGTTCTAGTTCTGGTTCTAGAGCAGAGTTCTTCACTTAGGGGTTGTGAAACAAACAAACACATCTATGGGATCTTCTGAGCACCCTCACTCAGCTTTCCCCAGAGATCCTCAGCTAGCCCTGGTTCCAGGCCCCTAACCCGCCTGGCCTCCCTCTCCTGGACACATTCCAGAGTATCCACATTCTTCCTAACAAGGAGGCCCAGTTCCTACAACTGGCCTGCTCCTGCCCCTCCCCCCATTTGTCTGAAACTGAGATTAAAAAGTGGTTTTCAAGCCTGAGCTTCTGGCAAGTGCTTAGGGCAGAGTTTGAAGTCCCCAGAGGAAAGCACAAGCCATGAAAATAATGCTCGGCTGTCAGGAATGGGGCCAAGAAGAAGGGTAAGTGACTGGCCGGGGGTATTTCAGGCAGGATTTGAACTCAGGTCTTCCTGTTTCCAGGCCCAATGATCCACCCACTGTGCCCTACTGCCTAAGCAGTTAGGGCTCACTCCACTTTGAAGGTTTGTTTGACTGGACCATAGAGTAAGAGAATGGGAGTAATGTGTAATAGGGTGGGAAAGGTAGGTTGAGGCTGGGTTGTGAAAGGCTCTGAATAGTCAAGAGGAGTCTGTATTTGCTCTTAGAGGTAACAGGGAGCCTGTGTGTGTGTGTGTGTGTGTACACGGACACACATACAAATATGTATATATTGATATTTAAAAATCATTTCAAGAGTCTAGAAATTAAGTCTGAATTTTGACCAACTCTCCCCTTCTCGGAGGATAATCTAGAGATTGAGAGTTAATCAGCAAACATTGATGAAGCCCTCACTATGTGTCACACACGGTGCTAAGGGCTGGAGACACAAAGTCAAAACAAGAACGGTCTCTGAGCTGACCTCCAGGAGCGTTAGACCTGGAATCAAGAAGGCCCAAGTTCAAATGTGAATCCAGACACTTATTAGCTCTGTGATCCTGGGTAAGTCACTTAATTTCTCTTGCCTCAGTTTCCTCATGTGGAAAAGGAGAGAGTTGGACTGGGTGAATGAACTCTAAGGCCCCCTTTCCAGCTCTCCATCTGTGATCCTAGGGACACAAATATGGAAGCATTTATATAGCGTTTTAATGTTTGAAAAACACTTTACACGTTCATTGGATCTTCAGGACACTGTGAGGCAGGAGCTATTATTATCCCCATTTTATAGATGGTCTTCCTGACTTCAAGTCCAAAGTTCTATCCAAGGTGTCACCTAGCTGCCTGTAAAATTCAAGACATAGACAGTAGACACAAGGTAATCCTGGAAAATGAGGTAGAAGAGAAATGAGAAA